CCTTTGCCGCCAAACAAATTTCGCACAACAGGGACCACAAGAAGAATTCGTTTTAATACGCATTCCGTTGACAAGATCCGTTGCAACGAGTCCACTGTACTACGCAGAATACTTTGAAAAATATAGTTATACAGTATTTGAATATTTGTGTGAATCGTGGGATTAAAACAGGATCTGACAAAAAAGTTGATCTAATTCTTTTGTAAACATGTCGTATTAGCGATGCTACGGAGGAAAATTACAAAATTAAAAATCGAACTATTTTTGTCCTGGAGATTCGATCGCACATCCCGTAAAAACAAAAAAAAATCCCGACGCTTCCCTAAGTAGCTTCGGGATCGAGTGTGCACTTCAAACAACGTCTTGGGTGACATTATACTTAATAACTCACTAACTTATTGAATAAAACGTTGAACTTACGAACGGAGACATGAATGCTACCAGCTGGAAAAGGTAAGCCTTCCTGGCAAAACTACAAACAGCGCCACATTGGTATTTATTCAGCTTCCTTTCCATCGTGTAGCAGGAATTGAGGAAATCTGCGAATTCCTTTCTGCGTGAGGTCACGAGCCCCACGCACGCGAGCACGCAGATAGCGTTGACCACACTCGGCACCTTGTACGCGTTGGAAAGACTCCATTTGTACCCGTCCTCAGCGTATTGGAGTGCGACGAAACGAGACATCCCAACAATGTGCGTAAGAATCCCCAGAACAACGATGATGCCTCGCATCTGACGGAATTTATTCAAAACTTGCATTTTTATGCTCGACATAATACGGCCTTCTGCTGATGACGATGAATAAGGACTCCGCAGAGAAAAGCCCATGAAATGGGCAACTCTCCAAAGCGGACCAAGAACCTTTTCCAACTCTGTCATTTTCCGACAGGCGAACTAATGAATCTATAGCCGCTGGTGCAAAACCTCGACACCGAGAGGTTCACTATACTGGCAACAATAAATAGGAAGAAAATACCACGTCAGGTATAAGAAAACTGACAAAGAGGAACTTTCCAACCGAGAAAATTGGCAGCAATTTGCACTGTTAACCGCTCTTTCCGAAGATGATCATCGTTCATATGGTGCAATAAGCACAGAAATGCTGTATAGCAATACGATTGATGGGGGGATGACGAAATTTCGACCATCAATCATTCCCGCAACTTCTTTATTCTAGAAGAAGCGAACGTTAAAACTGGTCTAGGTGGTTTTATTTCATTCGCTTCCAAAATGTTTTAGTTTTCTTTTACATCAGTTTCGGCTCTTATAATTTCAGTTGCGCACGTCAATATAAAGATGATATATACGCGGTTTATTGCGATCGCGTATATAACTATACACAGCAGACCAAAACATATTGATTTGAGGTTACTTACACTGAATAGGCGGCCAACCTCAATATCTGCATCTTATCTTTTGTTGCATTATTAATTTATTTTTGCGCGGCTGAAATTGAAATTAAATGTATTAAAATATAAGGAGATATAAATGTGGAGACAATAAAAAATACATTAGCATTCTTCTTAAATCATATATGCACATAAATAGCAGAAAGCAGTAGTGATGGCTATTATACTTCTTCGAGAATATTCTTCGGATTACATGACTACAGCAGAGCATGTAAAAATTTTACAAAAAAGCGACACACGTGCTCATTACATATTATCCACACGCAAAACAGTGTATCGGTTCTTGAGCGGATCATTTCTTCTTCGAAGGAAAAATATTCGCTTTAAATTTATCTTGACTTCCTCTGACACATATGGCAGCTATTCATAGAAAACCTTTTAAAACTTTAGAGGATAATAATATATGCATATTTGCAGCAGCACCATATATTGCATCAAAACCATGCTCATCCATGATAAAGCAAAATGTCCTCTGTATTATTATTACCTATTAGAATATCACCATCTATATATACAGTATACATTATATATACGCATACGACAAGATTAAATTGAATATAATTTTAAAAATCAGTAAATCTAAGTGGAATGACAGAACATTTCATCCTCCTTCTGAGTGAAATGACTCACCGAAATACAGTCGTGTTCGTCGGGCAGGAGGAAGTTTTTCCATAAATGCGCTGATCTGAACCAATCTCGTATATGTATGTAAGTCAAACTGCAGAACGCGGATAGCATCATCCCTTACTCAACCTAAAAATCAACACGAAAGCCATGGAGAAGTATAAAACTGCACTGATGCATGAAAATAATTTTCGAAAGAAAAAACGTTGCTGCCAATGAAAAACGGCAACTTTCTTGAAAAGTATCTACAGTAGTCGCACGAAGTACGATACATTATTTCCGTTCCTGAAATACATTGAAAAAAGTCTGAGTCATCAATGGCGCCATTTTGATCATCATCTATATATAGATCATATCACGCACCATCTACATCAGAAGTGCAAGCAAATTTTCAAGTATGAATCACGGTTGAAGCTGAGTTTCTTCTTCCTTAAATACAGCATCCTTTTTTTAGATTAGTCCATCCCAATATTTGATTGAACTGCTCTCTGCATGTAAGATATCTTACTTAACAGCATTTCATATTTCTTGATTTCTGCAGTAGTTATATACACACAAATAATATGTCATCCAGAGTTTTGGATTGTCATAGCACGCATGTTTTGAAATTAATTTTTGCTTACATATTTTTAATTTATTTATGCTATTTAATTCATATAGTTTTCGTAAACGGATTGACACAACGTACGTTCTTCAACAAATATATTTTTTACCTTAAAATCCTATACAGTAAACGAAGCTCGCTAGCATGTTATTTCTATAAATATATGCACACAAGGTGGTTTTGAAATAAAAATAATTCACGAATTAAGTATGTTTTTACGTCAGTTGAATGAAAAAAATGAGCTTCTTCATTGAATTATTTCATACAACACAAAAATTGTGATCCAAATTTTTGTACCTGCTATAGGTAAAATAAATTTACCTGAAAAACTGTTTCCTGCACCAGCAGGAAAACGAAGTAGGAATAAGAAAATTTCATCTGCTCAACATTTTCAAGTGGTGTCAGGCACAAATCGAGTCACACAATTACACATGGCAATCTGTGATTTTATTTGATCCGCTCCTTTCGTGCAGTATTGAAGAAGGCCATTTTAAACATTGACAATATAATCGGTTCAGTACAGAGTTAGAAGCTTAGAAAACATCTAACAACACCGACGATTCGGCATTCACAAGAAAATCAGATCGAATCATCACCAAACATGATGAATTGCAATTAACGAACCGCGGAAATGGTAGAATTTTGGAATGAAGCAATACATTTGGAGGATGAACTGATGCCGATCAATATCACCGAGTACGACAGCAGCAAACTGAAAATCTAATAACAGAGCATTTCGTGGATAAAACAAATAATATCAGGGAATTACGACGAATGACTTCATCTCGGCGATTACACTCACAGATAAATTCGTCGTGTTCGTCAGGGTGAAAATTTTCCATGCGCTGATCTCCATTTTGGTATAAATCAAACTCGACAGCAATCCTTCAGCCTGAAAATCAAAACGAAGGCTAAGGTTCTGAAAAGCTCCAATAAGAAATTGCTATATTTTTCAAACGCACAACTTCTCCTTCGGAACCAACGGGCCATTTTTGTGAAATGTATTTCAGGAACACACGAAGAGGGGCTTTCCGTTCTTCAAACACTTTCGCGAAGATTTGAGTCAATGGAACCATCCTGATCAGCAGCGACAATAAAGACACTGAAACGTGGATTAATTCATCCAAATAGGATGAAAGGAACATTCAAAACCTGTCGAAATACTGTAGTATCTCACGGAAAAGAATTCCAATGGGGAGCTGTGAATCGGTGACTCCTTGAAATGGGATCAAGCCGAGTATCGTCAATGAAGCTACGCTCACTCCGTAATTGTGAAGGATTATCTTCAAATTAAGTGAAAGATCATTCAATTCTCTAGATTGATTAAACAAACGAATTGCAAAGAGAGAAGAGCAAAAATCCGATACAAAATCTCTTGGAAAACGATTAGAGAATCTTATACAATACTTGAGGAAGTCGCGAAGAACAGAAAAATTGACCAAATTACTGACTTTCGTTTAGGAAATAGTTCATAAATTATAAGAAAAAATTCTCTGAACTGAAAAAAAAAGAAATCATGCGGTTATCATACTGGTCCGAATAGTCGATTGAACTCGATGTTGAACCTCAGCAACTCATCATTCAGCTTCCAGATCTGCCTCAATCTTCGCCCTCTGAGCTCATCATCACGGTTACTGAAAATCTCGTTCTTTTCGGCCGATGTATCGAGAGATTCAAGGGACTTCCGTGGTTCAAGATGGTTTCCGATGATCTCAGCCAATGCATGGATTTGACCAGTAGTGTATCTCGCGACGATCATGCCGAACGTGTCCAACAGCCCAAGAATGGCGAAAATGGATACGCCTGACACTCGCAAAAGCCGGTCGACGATGGATTGCAGAACGGCAATGCCCCCAAATTGTTCAGAAGGTATAGCCATATAGTTCTGGTGTTTCTTATGGTCATAGAAGACCAACAATCCAACCTGAACGATAAAGACCTACTTGAATGCAAGGAACAAATTGAACCTTGCCTACGCGCAAGGTGATTTCCACAAGCTTAATTCATACGCCACGAACTGCGTCGAACAGTTACATCTGCATAAAATTTACCCTTCAAAAAAAAGGTCTGAAACCACTTCAATTCCTTGGTTAGCAGGTCTTAGCTTTGACGAAGTGACAGCGGTCAAATCATTCCGAAACTCTGATGCGTTAATGTTACAGTATTAGGTCATCCTAGAAAAAACCGAGTTCTTCTGACCGGTAATCGAATCTGATATGTTCTGTCCAACATAAAAGAACAACAGACAAGGCCCCACACTGAGTGTGCAGAACTTCTTTTCGGAAAAAAAGTTCGTTGTAAAGTAGAAGCAAGGACATACAGACAGAAACGGCACAACAAAGAATTCGCTGCAAAGACAATCGTCATTGAGGAAGTCCACAAGCATGCTTCAACGTTTTAATTTCTTCCACATGTTCTAGGCGAACGTGGCAACAAAAACACGGAATCCGCGCTTATCTATCCTAGTACAGAAGGTGGAACTTACAAGCGGAACCATCCAAGTCAGCAACTGAAAAATGTACACCTTCCAGGCAAAATTTTGAATATGCCCACGCCGACTTTGCGTAAACTTGTTTTCAATCGTGGAGCAGGAATCAATTAGTTCTGCAAATTCTTTTTTCTTCAACCCAACGAGCCCCACGCATACAAGCACGTAGATAGCATTGGCCACACTGGGCAGCTTATACACATTGGCAGGACGTAATTTGTTCCCGTCCTCGAAGTATTGGAGTACGACCAAACGAGTTATGAAAACAATATGTGTAAGAATCGCCAGGACAACGAAGATACCTCGCATCTGGCGAAATTTATTCAAGAATCGTATTTTTCTGCATAAAGTCCGACCTTCTGGCGAAGTATTGAACGAAAAGCCCATGCAATAGGCAACTTTTCGAAGGGGACCAAGAGCTGTTTCCAACTCCGACATTTTCTGGCAGCAAACTGAAACCAATCCCGGAAAACCCCGCGGTTACAGAATGGCAAAAAAAAAGAAGAAATCTCGTTCAAGAGATACATAAGATATTGAAGAAAATTGGAGTGGTGCGCTCTTACGCGCACGGCACTTCCGAAAATAATGACTGGTTGGGTGCAAGTTCGACACTCAAATTATTGATAAGGGAGAAATCCAACCGTCATTCGTTCAACTTCTCCGCTTCAGAAAAGCGGATGATCACAAAGAAAGAAAATGAATTGATTCAAAAACAATTTTACAAAAAAATCTCACGGCATTTTTGAATTTGGATTTTTGATCATGAAAAAGCCTAAAATGTCATCACTTTGCTTTTGAAAAGAAATTCATAATTGAGCTCTGTTTTCCGGAGCTTGTGGCGACAGGTTTCTTTGGTCGACCTTTCCCATGGCTTTTCTCTTCGTTCTTCTTGGTATTTTCCTTGTTTTCCTTTTCTTTCTCATCTTTCTGCTCTTTCTTCGGCGTCGGCGGTTTTATCGGAGACGTTCTTTCCGTCTCTTCTGTGCCATCTTCGTCTATTTCGATTTCTTCGATTACCTTTTCAGTAACTGAAATGAACAAATCAGCACACGTTCATATGTTAACTCTTACTTGGGTCGAAAAATTTAACATTTTCGTCATAACCAACATTCCAGCTCTAATATAGGAAGATTTGAGTTTTAATCCTGAAAACAAGAATCGAGCGAAGTGATCTCTTCACACTGGAAGCCATTAAAAATTGAAAATAGTGACGCTGGCATTCTAACTTTGAAATGATATCAAAAATTTCACGCGTGGAGGTCAGAGTTTGCTTACCCATAAACCCTTCATCATCCAAGAAAGTTTTCTCGACCCACTGCTTGACCTTGTGCTTTCCTGAAGCTGGACGTGGTTCTTTCGCAGGCAAGGGAGTCGAAGGAACAACTTCCTCCTCATCAGAACTCTCAAGATCCGGCTTTTGTACAGTTACGACTTCTTCGTCATCGGCCCTCAATCGTTTATCGTTGGCTTCGTCATCGGATTCCTCCTCTGAGTCACTCAGGAGGGCAATAATTCGTTTCCGTTGCGTTTTCTTAGTTTCTTCCTTCTTTTTCTTAGCGGGAGGTTTTGACGATCCCTTACTGTCTTTCGTAGGCTTCCTCTTTTGAGCTTCCCTGGGTTTTGGAATATCTTCCGATTTTTTATTTTCAGGCAAAGATATCGCTTCCTCTTTCACTTCGGCTGTGACTTCAACTTCGACTGGCAAACTTGCTTGCTTCGGAGGAGCAGTTTTGTTCTTCTCTGCTTGCTTGGAAAACATCGCGGAAAGCGCGTTTTTCGGATTCGTCGGTTTCTTGGTGGGCGACGTTTTCTTCTGAATAGGATCGGAAAACGATCTTGTTACGGCAACTTCTTCGTTTTTTACTGCTGTCGACTTGTTGACGGTTTTCTCACTGTTGGCTTTTGTGGGTTTAGAAGCTACTTGATTCTTAATGAAGCCAAGAGATTCTGAGGTTTTGAACGCTGCTTTTCGGAGTTCTTCGACTTCATCGTTCGTTCGTGGTTGTTTGCTAATTTTTGATCTGATAGTATCGTATCTGAAAAAAAGTTCAAAAGACATTGAGTATGATCGCTTAACCGCAGTTAAAATGGGATAAAATCCAGAATAGTGCTTTGAATATCGCGATAGAACCGTTCGCAAATAATTCCCGAGGCAGGGCGTAAAAAAATTCAAATGGGATCATCAACGCAATACTCACTTCCCAAGATCACAAACTGATTCGGACAAGTGCTCCTGATTCGCGTTCAGTATACTTGCAGTCGGTTTCACCGATGCGTGGGATGGATGTAAGCAGTAAATTTCCGCAGCACAATTTCTGAATCTGGCTTTGACTTTGTCAACATCTTCGGATGTAGCGAGTGCAACTTCAAAATGGGATCTACTCGTTTTTGATTCGCCGGTAACGGCAAAGATCACTTTAACGTCTTTCCAGCGGGCTTTCTTTTCTTCATTCTTGACGAATTTTTTCAACAGGCTGAAATAGTTGAATAATACAGGGTAACTAGACACAAATTCTTCATAATTATCAGGGAAATTCATCTTACCTATTCGTTTCGATAAGAGGAATGCCCAATTCATGACTCAACCAACGAGGAGTGATCTGTAGAAAAAAAAAATTTTTCCACAAATTTATATTAGAATTAACTCGCATGAAATTCTCACCTATAAATCAAGACGACAAGTCTGTTAATCGTAAAAAAATTGACTATACTCACGGTGCGTTGGACATCGTACACGAACTCCTCCAATTTGAGCAATTTATCGTCGGTCACCGTCATTTTATGACAAAAAAAGACTATACAGGATTCACTGAATCGAGCATAAATTCACGCAACACGAGATTCCTTTTCAAGAGACAAGTGGAATGAGCGAAAAATGAATTTACAAAAGAGTAATGGAATAATTTTTAAACACGCAAGATTTCCTCTTGATGCATGCAACAGAACAGGACCAATAGAATCAATTTCCATTGAAAACTAGATCAGGGAGAAACTCTTCAAAAAAACTCCCATCAGTTTCCAGGCAGACCTCTGCTTCTCTGTTATTGTTCTGCTAAAAAAAGAAAGAAATAAAACGATATCAGAACTCATAAACGGTATTCAAAAATGAATTATCACACAATCGGCAAGTTGAAAATGATCTTATCACGGAATTTCTCCAAGAATTAGCCCTCACCTTTAAAATCGATGAAAGTACTGGGTTACTAAGATTTGAAAATTTCGAGCTTTCCAGCTCGAATGTATGTATGAAGGACAGAAATTTTCCTGGAGAAATATTCGATCATTTCGAGACAACTTCTCGACGTTTTGCTCATCAGGTTAAACGGGGAAAAAACAGAATTGGAATTTGGAAGTGCAGCTGAAGAGTGCGAAGAACTAAAATTTACCTGCCCTAAATGCAGGTTTTATAAATTTACAGCAATTTAGTATCAAATATTGTACATACTACGGTTGTTCTCGTGATTCGCGTAGTCCGTTATTCCTGATGTTGAAAATCGAAAAATGACGTCAAAGTTTCCCTATGATATTTCAGGGCATTTGTTTTTCTTTCTTCATATTTTTGAAACATCCATTTCAGAGTACAGTCCACTGTTTAATGAGAAGTGAAAACTTTCTGGTTGTGACCGCAGTCGTCACCTCATTGCTCAGTATGCTGAAAATGTGTCACAAGAGTAAAGGTATAAGAATCGAAATTTCGCTCGAACAGCCCATCAGGAAAACAAATAAAAAATTATTCGAATTCAAATTCTTCAAAGAAGTGATTCTGTTAAACGGTTTCGTAATCCGCTCTGCTCATTCATCAATACATGAGATGTTAAAACAAACCTGGCGGGGGAAGTAAAAGCCATCCAGCGACGGGAGATTCCAAATATTCCGGTTCGCCGGACCGCTGAATGCCCGACGACGACGCAGGAGTTTCGGCCGGTCGTTCTGCAGCAATTGCTGACGCAGGGATCGACACTTCGGTGGAGCTCAATTTCGGACTCGCTCGGCCATTCTTATCGTTGCCAGGCTTAGAAGTACCCGAGGTCTTGTCGGCAGATAAGGACTCTTCCTTCTTTTCGCGATCGAGCATTTCCGCGGAGAAGAACTCGAGGTCTTCGACATCGAGTTCTATTCGTGTAGGAGGTCTATGTAACATCTCCATTCCCAAATTCACGTGTTATCTTGAACAACGGAACATCAAAATTCATGAGGAAAGCTCGTTCTGCGAAAGTTCCTCGAATTCATGCAACCATGTACGTTTCGTCAAGGAAAAAAATCAAACGAGTGCCCTCCTTAATCCAAAAGCAGCTCTAGTAATACCGATTTCACCTGCAACCCTTGAAAATCATGAACATTTCACAACCACAACATCTGCTCAAACGACACCGTGGACTTTTCCGCGAAACTTCATCAATATGTCAGACTGAACACATCCAAGAACACACCGTGGCAAACGTAGTTTCGAAAAATCGGAGCGTAAATACGAAATCCAGAAGCGAAAAAAAAAAATCCCAGTGAAACTGAAGGCGAATGGGGAACCAGAACTACGTTTATTAAATGAACGAAAGAAAATTTCACGACTAAAATCTGATGCAAGTAGGAACCTCCAAAACTCCTAAGTATAATATCAACACATCGATTACTCTTGAATCTTCAGCCGGTGATATATTTTCCTCATGCAAACAATACATTTTTCAAAGAGAAATTCGTCTTCTCGCAAACATTTAAACACGAACGAGTTCATCTTCGCTTCCTTCGTTGGAGTCAGAGGCTACTGAAATCTGAAAATTATATTGACATTCTAATTTTGAACGGGGCGGCGAAATCGAACAGATTCGGCATGTTGGTCGTACTAACGTAGAAAATATTAGACAAGCATTCACGATGCTTTCAACTCGAAAAGTTCAACAACGTATAATCAAAACAATCTTCACCTAATGCCTCAAGGCACACTTCGACACCGCGACATTCGAAACAGCTATTGTTTTACTTCACCTTCACATTTTCTTGCTTTTCGTGAGGTAAAATCATTCTTGCAAACAAGGCAATAAAAATGGACCCGACTGCAATGGTGGTTAATCCAAGGCGAATCGCTCGGAACCAAACAGGATAAGCCTGCCACAACCCATCGTAGAAACCAGCACCGGCCAAGCTGAGCATAACCGCCATATCACTAAACGGATGCGACATCAAAAGCCCCATCACGGCGGCCAAACTAGGAATTGTCGAAATTGCCACATCTTTTGTCGATGCTTTAATACCCTCAGTGCCGAGAAGGTGACCCCAGCGAACGCCACCAAGAAAGGCAAGAATCGAGGCACCATAAACAACTTGAGCATGGATCATATCCGGATAGAATGTTCCAGAAACAACGCAGTAAAACGTGGGGAAGGCAAAAGGAATCAATCCTGAGACACCGAGGATCAAGTAGCTTTTTGGTGCGCAAAAAAAATGCTTCATGGTTCCGAAGTAGTCCACTTGATGAACCAATGGTTTCATTTTCGCGATTATTTCTGCTTTTGAGTAGAACGACGGAGACATTTGTTGGAGCTTCGTCTTATCCGCGTCTGTGCTAATATATCGAGGCGTCAATGCATTGCATGTCAGCTTCGCCCAATTTTCGCACAATGCGCAATGCTTCCCCACTCTTGAAGCTTGAAGAAAATTCATTTTTCTATGAAACTTGTCCTGCAAAGAAAAAAAAAGGGGAATATTTATTTCACACGAACAACGGAATTCAGTCGTCACTGGCTAGCGTGCATACATTCATAGTTTGAGCTCGGAATGCATGCCAGCAAAAATCAGAAGCAGAAAGACGAACTAACCTTCGACTATACAGGCGAGACGAGAAGATTCACGAAAATTTTTCGGGCGAATTTGAACCCTGAAGGGAAGAGAATCCTCACAATTTCGAAGGAATTTTCAAATGTCATACGAACAAAAAAATATCCCCGATTTTCTTCGTTCTCGTGGTTTTATCATCTTTCCGAAGAGTTTCTCGCAGAAAATCAACAATCTCACGAACGATCGTTGAACAATTCCAATACATCCGAGAATTACAACATTTATTTCAGGCAACGGGATCCCGAGAAAAAAATCTCACGATAATACATCGCTTCCAAAAAGTGTAAGCTCTTCAAACGATTATTTTAGTTGATACAATCAACATGCTTATCTAAAACACGAATTCCATCCACGCGCTGTTCCATCCATTAATTTACGCATCTCGAAGACGCTTCTTGTCTGCCTCCGGAGTCTTGCCATAAAGTGTGATTTTGGACACGTTGGGACTTTGAATATCGGAATCACAGCCATTAGAAAGTGGGGTGGAGTGGGAAGACGACTTCGTCCCTTTCATCAGTCGTTTCACGGCCGGTGTTCTCATCGCTGTGAAAATAAAAGATTCCTGTGTCAATGATGGATGCTACGCTTAATAGAACAAAGCATTTGAAGCTATTTTTAATTGTAGATCTGAAAGATATTTGGTGCGTGAAAATCAGTTTCGGGAACATTTCGAAGAAAGCTGTGCATTTGAGAATCCCATGTTTCCGAGAAAACTGCTCAGCACGAGAAACTCGACGATACCCTATTCACGTGATTACAGAAATAAGCCCCATCTTTGACAGCCATTTGAACTTTCGAAGAATAAATTAATGTACGTTTTCGACGCAGAGAAATTGGAGCAATATCAGATACAACATAGTATCAAGTACCCAACTTAAACTTTGATCAGTCGCACTTCTGATTAGGCACTTCACCTGCATTATTCACCTACATAATGGTAAGAAAATTATGGCATACTCACGATTCACAGCTTTTCCAGGCACGATAGTTCTTTCAGCCTCATCTTCACTACTATCATCAGAAGAACTTGATTTACAGATTTCTTTGATACGGCGCCGCCATTCAAGTTCCTTCATCGTCAGACCAGAAGATTGCGAAGGCACGTTTTCTCCGTTCAATTTCCTATACCTCACTGCGGCGACACCACCATTATTCAACGAAGATTGTGAACAGGTATTGGAATTACCAGAAGCTGCGGACTCCGTCAAGGAAGTCTTCGTCGAATTCAAAGGTGAAATTGAGTTCTTCCCGGCTCGAGGTTTTCTCGATGATTTCGAAGCCCCTTCGGTTATTTTTAAAGGACGCGTTTTTTTCGGACTCTTGGACGTCGCAGGTACATATTCCTCATCATCATCCGGTAGAGTCGCGGTTGAAAGCTCGGACGTTTCGGTAAACTCTGGGTATTCATTTCTCGTGACCTGGCTCTTTGAACGTCTCCTCGTTAACTTCGTCTCAGCGGGCAAGCTTTTCGGACTTTTGATTGCCTGATTGATTGAATTTGATGACGAAAGATCCTTCCGGCTTTTCTTGGATGCTGCTCCTACGTTGGACCGTTTCTGCTTGGCTTTCCCAGAAGGGTCCGCAGTAGCTTCAGTACTCGCGGGCACAGTTCGTTTCGCAGCAGCAAGTACGTCGGCCATGGCGGAAAACGCTTCACTCTCACTTTTCCCTTTCATAGAGCATTGTATTGCAGCCTCGCGAAGCTGTTCGAAAATCCGTTTTACAGGATCATTCAAACCCTGGAAGTAAAAGGCCGATTTTCCTTCTCCGCTTGACATTGCATGATCGTCGTTTTCATTGCCTGAAATTTGTGAATGCTTTGTTCTCTTAGCATTTGTAATTGACTGTTTTACTCGAAATTCATCTTGACTGCGTTCCGTCAAGTTCTTCATCCGCGATTTCTGGCTGGCTTTTCCATCAACAGCGTCAAGTACATGGGCTACAACATCGTTCTTCAGTTCGTCCTGAACAGGATTCTCATCGATGTCTAATTCCAAGGCATTCCTTTTGGGACGTTTACCTTTGAAACATAAAATGAAAAATTTCATGAAATCAAAGCAACGAAAACGGAATAAATCAAGATCCGATGAACTAAGCACTGAAAGAAATCTGCAGTTTGGCTTCAAGGGATCAACATTTCCCAAATCAGGGAAACATTCAGACGTCCTGAAGAGAAGTCGCGAACATTATTATCATGGAGCACTAACGCTATTTAGTATATTCGATGACAGAAAATAAATGCACCGAACAGCTCGAAGAACACAAACCAAATGAGGGATGAAAACGAATTCTTCTCGTGCTTACCGACTCGTTCAGCGTTCTGGGCATTCGGACCTTCGCCCGAACCGGAGGTTTTCCTCTTCGTGATTTTCGCAGGTCGTAGACTCGACGTTATCCTCGGATTTGGAGAAACTGGTGGCGGCTTTTGCTTTCGTTTTCGTTTCACAGACGGTGAAACAGGTTTGAGATCAGATGCCCGTTTCTTAACACACTCGAGAGTCGAGGGATCACAGAAGCCTACGTATTCATCATCACTAGTAGGAATACGGGTCGGAACAGCAGGAAAATCATTTTCTATTGATGGAGTCAATTTCGAACGCGGGCGAGGACCGGTCGTGCCAGACGATTTTCCTAAACGACTTTCAAGAGTCGATTTGTTCTGTTCTCTTTTTCGGAGATCCGGAGAGCCTTCGCTCGAAGCAAAAGAGTCACTCTTTTTTCTTCGCGACGACTGAGGTACAGCTTCTGCGGTATTCGCCGAGATTTTCTGAGAAGAATAACTTGGAGTCGTAAGTGATGATTTCTCCGAAGGCTTTCCAAGATTTTCAAGTGTACTCTCTTCGCTGGTATCACTCAAGCTTGAATTTTCATTGGAGATGTTGATATGAGACGATGCTGCAGGCTTAGCTTTTGGTTTGCAAACGGGTTCCACGGGGTTAAACTTTCGCGACGGAGAACTCACGTCATCATTTGGTGCACGTGGTTCGACTTCTTCGCGTATATTTTTCTCTTCATCACTACATTCATCAGATGATTCAAAACGGATACCAATAGTCTTCAGCGTCTTAGGTGCAGATTTCGGATTCGTCGTATCGCTCGATTTTGCTTTCCCAGATGATGAAATCTTTGAATATTGTCGAAGAGTGTCAGACGCATGTTCTTCTTCGTCACTCGAGCTTAATTCTTCATCAACGACATGGTTTCCTGAAGATGGTACATGTTTATTTTTTTGCTCATCTCTGGTTGCAATAACGTTGAATTTTTGCAATGGAGAACACAAGTAATCCTTTTTTGCCGGTTTGACTTCCGACTTTCTTGACACAAAAGTCGTGTCTGTTTGAGGCGATATTTCTTCGTCACTGCTTTCATCAGAAGATTCCAAGCTAATTCCACTAGTCATCGTGGTTCTAATAGAAGAAGGTCTGAAATTTGCTATGCTTGATTTCGCTTTAAATTGTTTTTCAGAAAAGGAAATATTCTTGGAAACTTTTCCGAATTCCTCAGACTGTTCTTCCTCACTGTCATCACTCGAGTTGGAACATTCGCCACGCTGACTGCTTTCAAACGACGATGCATGTTGATTTTTCGGTCTACTTCTGGGTACGACGGCGTTGCATTTTTGCGAAGAAGAATCCACCGCATCGCCTTTCTTATGAACTGGGTTATTCACAGAATCATTCGGCAAATTTGGCTCGGCCTCCTGACGAGATCTTTCCTCTTCATCAGTACTTTCACTCGACGATTCCTTGGTAACTCCACTGGACTTTGGATTTGTTGCAACGCTTGATATTTTTCTCCGTTTTTTCCCAGGAAGTAAAATATTCTTGGACGAGTTTTCCAATTTCTCAGACGCTCCTCCCTCACAGTCATGACTGGAGCTCGAGTTTCCAACACGATGAATAACGGAAGCCTTTCGATTTTTCTTTGATTCATCACCGGATTCGTCCACACCGTCACGTTTATGGGATGAAGACCTCGCATGACTGTTTTCATGACTATTCGGTTTGCTCTTCGAATTATTCGGCACATGAGGCGTGTCTTTCTGTACTGATAGTTCTTCATCACTACTATCAGAGGATTCCTCCCTCATTCCACTGGCCATCGAGAGAAAATCCGAAGATTTTAAATTCGTAACACTTCTCGATTCATCTTCCGCTTGTTCATAGGATTGAGGAACGGATTTCAAGGTGTTACCCAGGAAGTTGGAAAAAATGTCGTCCCTCTCATCAGACGACTCTGAAACCAAAGGCTCGGGAATTTCGTCAATGCAAGGTGGCCGTTTATGAGGCAACTCGTCATCGCTGTCGGACGAAGACGAAAAGCATTCAAGAACCGTTTTCTTTGAAGAAGACGAACATTCCTTGGTCTTCATCACGTCAGGTTTTTTAGAGGGTGAGAGATGACCAGGAGTTACTTTGGAAAGGAGATTAGATGAGCCTGACGGGCTATCAGCGCGAATTAAAGACTTGCTTGTTGAAGAGTTATCAGGGGTTGTGTTCGCTTCTTGTGCTTTGGAACCCTGGTGATCATCCGCGAGATTTTTCGGCGATTCGGGTTTCATTATTGGACTACATTGAGCGATAGATTTTTCACCGGTCGATACCGACGATCTCTTGCCCTTCGACGAGGCTTTTTGCGAAATGGATTCTAGAGAATTTTTATTCAATTTCTGCTTCAACGTAACCGAGCTAGGCTTCATGAAAAGCGTCGAGTCAGGCTCTTCGGAATCAGAGTCAGACGTTGATTCAACAACAGCGGGATATGTAACGGGAGCCGGAACTTGTCCTTTTTTCCCAGTGATCGAGAAGGGTCCGTCGATTGCATTTTGGCGATCATTGCTTGACGAGATCGACTTATTTTTTTTATGCTTCAGATCAGGGTCGGAATCTACACCATCGGATTTTTTGCTCAATTTTGATACCGAAACTTCATCATCGCCTGGAAGCTGGTTGAGTTTGATAGTCGACACCACCGCGCTCCACGTAAGACCGCCTTTCTTCTTCTTAGTCTTCTTCGCCAAAGTGGGAGAGATTGCTGGCTCAGTAACATTTTCTTCTCCCTCATCAACTGACCCGGTCCATGATGAACAATTTTCGAGGGATCCCACTCGACCAACACTTTCAAGTCCGGAGTCGGCGGAGTTCGGAATTGCAGTTGAACGTTTCTTTTTCCTTAAAGCAAAAATAAGTTTTATCTTTCATCTCGATAGGGGAACTTCGACAACACAAAAATCTCACCGTTTTACATTTTTTGACTCCGTGACGACGGCTTGAGAAGATGGAACAAAGTCGTCTTCTTCACCTTCGACCGGCGGTTTAGACGAAATATTCGCTGAATTAGACTTCGTTTTTTTCGTTGAATCGAAGTCATTCTGATCGTCACGATTCGAGAGCTCCAGAGATGTTCCAACTTGCTTCGGACCTTGCTCCCCTTTCGAACGTCAGAAAATCATTAGTTGATTCAATGCTGAAGTCATAAAAATTATCCGAGCCTTTTTTTTTTCACCTGACTCCTCACCGAGATTTTCACTAGATTCGTGTAATAAACCACACTGAGTCAACGACCGCAGTAGCGCAGCTACACGTTCTCGATCCATTTTGAAACCATCCGTTTTCCTGAAATCAATGACGCAGTCATTGACTATAAGCAAAATTAACAACGCGTAGTGAACCGTTGAACTCACCGAACAAGCCTACGAAATTCACCACAGAGAACGATCATTTTGCGAGAGACTTTGTAGTCGGAGTACTCGAATTCCAAGATATCTCCTTCAGCCACCGAATCAGCTTCCTTACGATTCGGATTGTTTGGACTGCACCTGAACATGATTTCCATTAAAATTTTTACACATTTACTGCATACGAAAAATGCGAAATTTTGTTCATCGCAAGTTTAAAGGTAGTGGAGATATTTCATCAAGTTACGCTTGAATGGGCGTAACACTCAAGCATCAATAAAATTCCAAAACGCACTCAAGATGAATGATTGACCGTCAGAAGAGTTCCACAAAAGCTTTAAAAATTCCGGAAGAAATCTGCGAAAATACCGCACCGATACCAAGACTGACACTTACTCAACTTTCACTGAAAATGTGAGGAAATTTCCGAGGAAAAGTCGATCACCGGATATTTTCAACAATCTCATTTGGTAACATCTCCCCGAAGCCGGTCTGAATATCCAGAAATCCGCACTGACTGTTCCAAATCCTGCAGCGTCTACGAATGACGACGCGACTGCATTGGAAAACTTGTAAGGAATTCCATTGAGCCTGACGGAAATCAGAACTGATACTGGTCAATCGTCGGAATAACTTTTGCAGAACCTTTTCTCTAGAAAACTCGTTAGGCTTTCCATAAAAGAATCCGATACATTTTCTTAAAGGAAAAATGTATCAAATCAAATCAAAATACTGTATTCCATAATTATAACATACCGCCTATCATACACTTTCATACAGCTCGTCAGCGTGTCCCGGACCTCTGATTTCCAGTGGGTCAGCTGTGGAATTTTCAGTTTCCTATTGACTTTCTCAATCGTAACATCTCGCGGAAGCTTTGATTTCACCATACTGTATTTCATCGACAAGAGCCGATGTTCTTCGCAAAACAAACAACAAACAGAATCTGCAATAAGAAAAGCGAAATGTATTTTTATCACCAGTATTCAATCACACAGTAATGAAGAAAACCCAGATATTCGTGGAATGAGGAAATATATTTTGGCCTGAATCAAAGCTTCGGAAAATTTCCGTCGAGTGCAGGTCCCACAAAATGCGATGAGTTTTCCCTTAGTTACCCGTGCAATGCCCGATGAGCAAATAAACGGGAATCGAAGTCAATATGGGAGGCACAAATTGTACCTTGCAGAATGGACATGAAACAATTGCGCGATGTATCACGATAATGAATACAAGTGAAATACGTATCTTCGGAACTTAATGCCCTCATTTCACACATTCAAAAATTTTCACAGGATTTCTGCTTTCGATTGATTGAAAATGACTATTTCATTTCTCCCCTCATAAAAAAACGAAACTTAATCGATTTAAAGCGGCCCACGAGCAAGGGAAAGAATACAATGAGTATTCTAACCATATACATACAATCTTCTCAGATTCTGACTCCAGCACATGATCTTGAAAAAAGCGGGGAAGGTTAAACCTAAATAAAATACTGCACTCAGAGATATATTTTCTTAACATTCGGCTGAGTAACGTCCCTTCAAGTGTTAATATTCGATGCATCGAAGTGAATAAGGTATCATGATTACCGTAGTACTTTACGCTCCAGGCAGAAAAAATCGCGTATCATGTGCATCAAACAAAACCACCAACGAGAATAATCCTCGCAACGATTTTTGAACGACAGAGAGGACAATCCACAATCGGATTCGAGCACTCCTTGCAGCAGCAGACATGTCCACAATTCAAGAACACCATTTCGCACTGAAAACAAGTAAAATATGATAGACGAATTCGGAAAATTAAAGAAGTTTGTATACAATTAAGTGAGAGTGACAGTGGATCGAGAGTTGAGTGTACAGTATTTAAATCAACACACCTTCATGAATCTCAAACAAATGTAATTCTAAACATTTGTAAGTTTTAATTCCAAGCTTTTTCTGGATACTTGAATAAACTTGTTCAAACTTGGCATGCGCTCAAATATCGCAAATACGAGAACTTAACTCCACTTGAAAGGTTCAACTACTGTACTGACGGAATTTTTTCGTTTTCCATAAAAAATGAATAAAAGAACTTTGCTCACTTTTTTATCCATGCACACCACACATTCCTCTTCGATTCTTGCAGTCAATGCAACTGGAGGGGCAGATGGTTCCGGAATTTCGTTCAAAGACACATCCGTGCTTATTTCCAAAGGAGGGGCCGAAGGCACAACTAGTGTGCTTACTACGTCTTGAGCACATACTGAAAGCTTTTCTTGGGCTTTCAATTGCTGTATCTTGTACTCGGCGATTTCCTTCATTATCGCTTTCACGACATCCGCGTCTTTGATGCCAAGCTGGAGATATAAAAATTAAGCATTTAACGAAAGATTTGGACATTCACTTCCAATAATGAAAAAAATAGCTTTCTTTGAGTTAATTTACAGTTAACCAAATCTCCTTTCTTTAACGACAGGAACATACTGATTGAAATGAAAACTCGGAGGAACATGATTAAATTACACTAAAAAATTAAGAGAATGACTACGAACCATCATGTAATCCTCTTTCTCATAATCAACACAATTCGCAGCTGTCAAACGACGACGGGCGAAATGTGGAATATATTTTTGAGCTCCAACACGAGTCAGAATATCACGGAGAACCCAATCCATCCTTGCATCTGCGTCTCTAAGCGTCTCTGGTGCTGTGTCCAAGAGCCGCTGATATTGAATTATCCAATACCCATCCTGTGAGTCAGATATCTGATCTTCCATTTCCTGAAAGTGAAGAGCAATGGAAAAACGGAAACACTCAATTTGTTATTTACGGAAGAAACCTTCAATCTCGTCGCCAGTTCTTCTTCACGTATTTGTTTCTGGACGATCAGAGCAGCAAGAACGTCGGAAAGCATTTTTCTCTTGCTTTCCAGGGCTGCCTAAAAATCGAAAAAGGGAGATATATTTTACTCAGGCTTTGCAACTCCTTGTGAATATTCCATGGGTTGGAAGGAGATCCGCAAAAAAGCTTGTTTATCGCGCGTAGTAAAAATTTACGGCTACAGACCATTTGGCCTTTCATCCGTAAATCCTTTTGGGCTGCTTCAGCTTTCGACAACGCAGCAAGTTGTTCGAGAATCTTCTCCAACTGAGTCGAAATGGCAACTCGATGCGTATCGCGTTGCATAATCAAGGAAAGCAACATTTGACGTTGCATATCCTCGTCGGTCAGCACCTGCTTGACTAATGCTTGCCGCTCACTCGCCTTCCGCGTCGTCAACTCCGAAAGCTTCTCTCCGGAGACCATATTCCTTTGAATTTCATCGAAAAAGTAACACTTCGATATCTGAATTTCTTCGTCAAGTACTTACTGTTCTTCGGCTGTCTTGAGAAATTCTTTGGCTAGCCTCGAATTTTCACTCAAGGTTAGAACTTCTTTCTGCATTAGCTCTGATAAATGTTTCTCCATTTTCTCTAAATAACGCAAGAATTAATCCACCAAAATTTGAATAAAACCTAAACACGTTTCCTCACCTAATGTTTGTACACGTCGATCGTTATTGAATTGGTCGGTTTCAACTTTTGACAACAGAAGTTGGTCCAAAATCGCATCAGCTTCTGCCTTTCGACTAGAATCATTCATGGCAAGAAGATTGGCAATCAAGTCATTCGAATGGCTCTCGACTGAAATAAATCAACAACGTTACACATTTGGGATTAGGTCAATTGCGCATCTCACTCACTTTCCGCGATTCGCTGTACCATATCCTCTCGTTCCTTTTCCTTCTTTTCTTGAACTAGCTTTATCTTCTCATCTAAGGCCTTATTTTCCTCCGCCAAACTCGAGATGATCTGATGAAGATTTACGGGAATACCTGTACAGTTAAAACAAAATCCAAGTCTATAACTTGCACTCGTACTTGTTTCGATCTGGCCAGATTTTCCTGCCAGACAGCTTCTTCGCGAGCAGCTATTTCTTTCAGGCGTTCTTCAGTTTCCAGCATTTCACGCTGCCGGACTCTCTGTTGAAAGGAATCGAGCCTGATGATTTTGATCTAGACATGGAGAAATCGGAAACGATACAAATATCTAGCAAAAGTGTCATCAAATAAATTCGTGACGGCTACTCGCGGAAGCTAAGCAAAGTGAGAACAAACGTGCGCCTGCCTTCGTCATCTCGTGCTCGATAGCTCTTCTCTGTGAAATAAAATACAAAAATAAATGAATGCATGCTAGGTTAAACAAAGCACACCATTAATCGCGAAGATAGGCAGAAAAGCCGTTAGTTTCTCGTTTCGCTGACTCAAACAGGAACTTACTTCTGCTTCAAAAACCGCATCGTGACAGGAACGTCGTCGGTCAGAATCTACTTGTGCAGCGAGAAACGCATCTTTCTGCTCCCTGTCATCGTCTTTCTGCTGTTCGTACGCGACACCAGCACCTAGTCAAGCGTACCACGAAAACATGAATGATAGTAAAGTCTTCGACATCGTCATGAAACAGAAATCACCAAGCGATGCGGAAGTAACTTAGGAAAAACATAAAAGCTTATAGATCCAACTCAAGAGTAGAAGTTCAGTTTCTGGACCATTATCATTCAGCACGTATGTCTAAATAGAAAACTCCAACGTCGGCTGCGAAGAATGGCACGATGCTTCATGTTTATAAACCTTTCAGTTCCATAAACAAATCAAGAAAAAAATGCGCAGAAAACCGACTAATGCTCGGAACATCATTCGCAGAAATTAACGATGCACCGGGTGTCAATAAAATGTAAACGAAAATGAACCACAGTGACTCACGTTCGCACAAAGTCTGCATGATCGCAATTGTTCCTTTCTTAACATCTTGGAGTGGAGGGAAGATCAGGTCTGGGTTGCCCTCGAGATAGAAATGCTGTAACCTCTTCAGTTTGCAGAACGTCGAGGGGATATCCTTCAATTTGTTCCGACTCAAGTCCAACTCACGTAACTGATTCAAAGCTGAGAAGCTTTCTGGAATCTTTTGCAGCCGGTTATTGGCAGCAATCAAACACTCCAAGAATTTCAACTTCGAAACGGATTCCGGCAAAGTCTTCAACTGATTGTCACGTACATTCAAGCTCTAAAATAAGAAGCAAATATGAAAAAAAAATATGAATGAATGTGAACTGCACACGCAATACAAATACAATGCTTGTGCAGTAAGTTATTTTGTGCTACGGATTCCCTAATCCTCTGGCAAATATACGGTACACAAAATGTACGGATATTTTCATGAATGAATAATACCACACCTTTAGGCTTATGAGACAATCCCCGAAATCTTTTGGTAACTCAGAAAACCTGTTCGATGCAAGGTTCAAGTGCGTGAGGATTCCCAAGTCATACAAATTTCCACCACCAGCCAACGACGTCAAGCAATTTTCCTGAAATACAATCATCTCGTAATTTCGAAAAAAAAAAAAACCGATGAGAGGAAAGGCTTACCATTAAAAGCAGAGTTTCCTTCCGGAAAACTTTGCACGTGGCAAAAATCTTGGGAACGTCCTTCAAACCACATTCGGAGAGATCAAAAGTTGGTTCAGGCGTTTCTCGGCTCTGCAGATAAACGATACACATGATATATCCTGCTTGAGCCAAATAATACTGAATGAACTCACGTAACGGAGTTTCTCCTCCAGTTTTGCTTTGTCAACTTTGCTCCCACCAAAAAACGGCATTTTGTCGTTAAAAAATGCATAACCGTTCTGTCTCAGAAATCATTTGCCCGACTAAGAAAATAAGACTTGAAATATTTAAGCTATCATTCGCCTGGAAGAATGGATGACTTCTTTCAAAAAGCAATCCACGAACGAACTTGACAAGAAGCAATTTCCTTCTGTCCGAATATATAATTCAATAATCCCGAAAACAAAAATAATTTTTCCATCAAACAAAACAAAGAAGAACGTATGCTTCCTTTTGACATCTTCGGAGGAGAGAATCGGTAGTGGAGAGAACGCCTCCAAGATTAACTGTCTTTCGGACACGCATCACAGTAAGGTAAACAAACTAAAATTACTGAAGCTGACGTATTATGATCTCTAGCAAACAACCGATGCAACGAGGAAAACAAAATTTCATCACGTCAATGTAGAAAATTTGTTGAAGTGATCCTGTACATCGCAACGCAGCGATAACTGAAGAAATTGTGAGAATAACGTACCCAGATTCACGACAGCAAGAAAAGGGAAGCATTTCTGAGAATCAATTGGTAAATGCTGAAGTGCATTCAACGCAACTGCTACTCGTATTGAGCTATAAGCACCATCATGTATACACCAAGAAGCAGGGCGAGAATTTCCATGATCGACTGCTTGACATTCGTAACTCCTTCCAGAAGCTCCGGAAGAACAGAAACCGTTGCAATGTAAATGAATCCGCCAGCGGTGAAAGGAAGAATCCATGCCGGAGCTTTCTCGCCTAGAAATAGAAAATACAGGATCACTACTTCAAGCTCCGATAAACATAATTTGGAATGGGATTAAAAGGTAAATTCGTAATGACTAATCTTTCGGATTTGATAGAATACGGTATTAACATTTAAAATAAGTTCCGTCGAATAATTGTCGTAATAGAAGTTAAGCCAACATTGTCACCGCCATAGGTTCCTGAAAGAAGGGCGATCTCATCGACATTCATGGCATCAATTTGATTACATTGAAAGATAGAACAATCACAAAGCGAATACTTCAAAAGAATTTTCTTGAGCAGTACATTATTTCGTTCTGATGATCAGATTTCTCCAGGTTTATTCCCAGGCAGCAATAATTTTCTCGATGTGTTAAGTTGAAATTCAACCCAGAACAACTTCATCTTCCTACGTATCTCCCACAGAAACTGCAAGAAGCTCGAAGATTACAAGACTGCAATGTACGGTACAGTATAGGTAACGTAAATGAACACATTTAGCCCAAACATCCAAAATAATATCGGAAATTTCGATCCCTACAGAGCCAACCATTCAAAGATACAGAGAAAAGAGCAAAGATTCTTGAAATTTGACATGACATCTCGATACCAGCGAGAAAACTTCGTTTTTATGTTGCGAGGAAAAGAAAAACAGGCAAGTTACCGAAATGGCAATGCTTCGAATACCCACTCACCCATTTCTTCGGCTAGGAATGATGTAATGGTACCACTGAGCGCACCAACGGCTGTAACAAGCTGTAGCATTATCGCTTTCTTCTTCCCACATCCGGATTGAATAAGAATAGCGAAGTCACCGATTTCATGAGGAATTTCGTGCAGAAGAATGGATAGAGTCGTTAATGTTCCAATGGTGGAACCACGAAGAAAAGAAGCTCCAATGGCCAATCCATCGGTGAAATTGTGCGTGAAGTCTGCGGCTAGGTTTAAATATGCAGCGACTTTGACGTCATGCGGCAGCAGAGTATCTAAAGAAAAATGAATTATGATGACGTGCACGGGCGGAGGCGAATTACGAGACGAACCAGATTTTGATGAGAGAATTTCAGCATTTCCTTCGTCAGTGACATCGGTGTCCGATGCGGATTTCGCGTCTCGAGCGACCGAAGAACCGCGACTAGTCGCAGCGCTTTTTACTGCGCTTGACGTGATTTTGCGATTAACCAAAACAGTTTCAGAGTTCACAGACTTCCCAGCTCCATCACGGGTTTCTCGCACCTGCAGAGTAACCCATTATTATTGAAGATTCGACAAAAAAAAATATTGAAGAAACAAGCAGATTCCAGGAATAACCGCTGCAACGAAAGGTGTTCCAATAACAAAACGAGCAAGAAATCCGTTTCTATCGTTAAAATTCGGGGTTTTCTCAAGTTACTTACCTCACGCTTTTTCTCCACAGCATCATCACTTTCGGAAACAGGAAGCGGTGAAGGACTTTCTTCTGCTTTCAATGCGACATCATCATGAGCGTGATGATGATGGTGATGCCCTCCTTTAACGATCCGAACGAATTTTTCCACCAACAAGAAGGTGACAATGCCAGCAAGAACCCACAATCCAACACTAAGGTCGTGAGAATGTCCATGATCCCCGTGATCATGATCATGGGCATGTGCGCTGGACGAATGATCGTGATCGTGACCTCCGTCTTGCTGAAGAATTGCGTGTGGGATCAAGTGGAGAAATGCATCACCAAGCAAACCTCCAGCAGCGAAGCTTAGAAGAACTTTCAGGAGAGGCTGGCCAGCATCGGCTTTTTCAAGTGGAATGAAGAACAATATCAAAAACGGCACCGCACTGATCAACACAGTCGCTGAGATCGCCTGCAGTAACAATGCATTTCTGCTGTAACCATCCGAACTCAGTTTTTCATAACCATCTCTAGGAAAATTTGAATGCCGATGCGACGCTTCCCCGGGGCCGTGAGATCCTCCATTAGCGTGATCATCGTGATGATGATCGTGAAAATCATTTGCCGCCTTCGAATAGCGAAATTTCACATCATCGATCGCGTCACCATCATGATGGTGGTGGTCGTGTCCACCATGGGAATGCACCAAATTTGTGCAGAATAACAGATAAGCGGTGATGAAGAGACACACCGCAGAAAGCCCCATGGCTGACACTGAATTTTTGCTTCCTGTGAAAGGCCACAGAAGGGTATCTCAAAACATTATAATACAACGTTAGTCGAAATTATCGAGATCACACGATCTCACGCATCGGAATTCAACAAGAAATGCAAGCACTGAATCGCGCCCAGAACATTCATACCTGATAATGATGCTGCGAGAAAACTGCCGCGTACTCCGGAATTCAGACTTAAGACGGACGCCATTTGTGCATAAAACGTGTTTCATCGCCCACAGGTAAACAGGAAGAGCTTACAGTTTTAGTTGCACGCTGCACCTACACATGAGAGCAGTACCGAAACCATATGAAGTAGGCCGAGTACAGCAATACCATACGGCCGGTATGGGAGATATGATGGGGCAGGTTATTCTTCCGAAGGGGGGAATGTATTACAAAATTAAAGCTGAAAGCAGAGAATCAGTAATGGATAGTAACCATTGTTCTAAAGTAAGCACCATGCAGTGGTTTTTTTCTCACTGGATACACTTTTTGTCTCTCTTAGTGTGAATTTTTTTTTAAGTGGTTCAAGTTCAGTTAAACCTTAGTAACTGGGACCTCTCCCTCAGACAAATACATCCCTATTTCAATTACAATCTTTCCAAGTCCCTGATGCCTGAATGGGCTTAGAAACCATGCATTAAAAACCTACCTAACTCAAAAACGTTCCCCCTCTCAAACCTTCATACCTACAATTTTCTGGAGGCATTTTATTTTATTGACTCTGGAAATATAAATTCAATGCAAATTTTACTTATTGCATCCTGAATGGAAGTGAAAAATTGATTTAGCAACCCCTTGCCTTCAAGTTCAGCGTCATTTCAACTGATTTAAGATTTAATTTAATGCCCAGAACATTGTCAATCAAAATGCCGCATAATTCTCCTTTCTTTTTCCCTGAATGAACATGTTTGTTCTTCTAACTGGAAACCTCCATAACTTGAATTTTTTGCAGTGCCCTTGAAGTTACATTGAAAGAGATGCAACTGCTGGGTATTTCAGGGTATACACAGTACAGATGAAGAAGCGTAAAATGAAATGAACCATTTCTGCATGAAGCATTCGGTGGTACTATATATTTTCGATGGGAATACATAGAGGAATAAAAATTCCATAAGCTTTTTAAACCCTGCAACGGCTGCATGATGGCTGGGTATTTTTTGCAGCATATTTGAAATTCTTAATTTGGGTCTGCTGCTTTAAACACAGTACATTAATATGCCAAATAATTTTCGAAGTGTTGGAGGGCCTAATTAATCTTTGAAATACTGTACATACTGCAATTAAGTAACGGTTCAGGAACTACTGTATTTACTGGAGTACCGCGCATCCACGCATCCACTCGATGAGTACATAAGATGGAGTGCCTCTGTTTTTTGTCGTTGGGTTAGCGCAAAAATATATTCTCACATAAGACGCGCATCATCCCTCATTTTTTCGTGGTTCAAAATTGGGTTTTTCCGAATAATATAGTGTGGCTGAGCAAAATAACCCCTTAAAAATATGTGTTTTAAATGTAATATGGGAGCCAAACATAAAATTTCCCTTTTTTATTTTTACTCACAGCCTATAGGCTCAATCACAGTTTGCACCCCTGCATTCTTTTTTAATTCAACATGATTATATACTTTAAAAATGTATAACCCCGTATGACAGCGCACCCCGCTATATATACAGTACATGGATTTTACACAAAAAAGGAAAGGTGTGCGTGGTAAGCTCCGGTGAATGTACGCTAGTGATGGTTTTGTTGAATCGCATAAGTTTGAAAAAAATTAAAATGCTGTTCGAAGTGCTCGGCAATGGCTGCTTTATAATATACGTTATATTGTTATTATATTTTTTGTTTATTCATAAAATATGTTTTCTCTATAACTCTACCGCTGGCATGCATGGGCTGGGCTGACATAAAAAAAGCAAATGGGCCATTCGCACCGAAAAATATGGTGACTTCTTTGACACAGTGAAACAGCAGTTGCATTTATTCCGTCCCAGCATCAGTTGGAAAAACCGGGATGATATAATGTATATCTACAAAGACATGTATTTACACGAAAGTCGATGGAGGAACACAGTTTTCGTCGACTTGGGCCGCGCGGGACAAATAAACTGCAGCGCGTAAAACACGTCACGCATTCGCGCTCCCGCGAAAAACCGCGAATTTCGTGCCAAACAGACAGGTAACTCTCTCCCACCGCCGATGCCGAATAACCGTCTCATTCGTTATCATGTACAGTATTCGTCTCTTCATTATCGTGACCAACGCACTTTCCTCATGCACGCTTTCTTCGTTCATCAACTACGAACACATTTCATTCGCAAGCCATCATACTGCTGATTAAAACAGTCCTTTTCACCACGGAGATAGCGACGACGAGCTTCAAAAAGTCGACGCGGCATACTCGGGCTCTCAGTATGCCACGCGCCACCTTTATCAGCGTTGATCAAAGAAACGAAACAACCGCAAGTTTCTCAAGCCTCAGTACCACACATTGCTGAGCAAACGTTCCATCATCCTTTGTAGAAAAAAAAAACGAAAAAGGACTTTTAACACCCATCCGAGGTTCCTTTCGATGACACGCACACATAAATACATGCGCAATTGTGCTGCACGCGAAATAAAACCGATCTCTCGAACCGCGAATGCCCACAGCAATAAATAAATTCTTTCTGAGCTTCACACATTTCCTCGTGATCATTTAGCACTTGCAGTGAAAAGATCGATTAAAGCTTCTGCCAAGAACAAAATTTAAATTCGCCGAAATCATGACAAGAGGTACAGCTAGAGAACTAATTTTTTCAAGTTACAAAACGTGTCAATTTCTGCTGAGCCATCACGCATCTTTAGCTCTTACACTGTTGTTGGATTTTTCGCTCTATGCTGAAATACAGTATGTCTCCCTTTGCTCTCTTCTTCGCGGGATGAATCTTCAACAGTATTCAATCCTGACCTATTCATCCCTCAAGGAATAGAATTGGGGAATAAGTGTGGATTATCTCCATGAATGTAACGTAAATATTCATTGTGGCTACGCCGATAAACTGCGGACTACAGTTTCTGCTTGTGATCGACATGTATGTGCTTAACATTTGAACGCAATTTTCCGTTTTTTTATTCACGTGCAACATTCAGCAGTGACAAAACGGAAGAGGAAGCTTTCAGTTTAACGGCGATAAAAAGGGACAAAAATATAATCCGCTCCTTCTGTTTCTATGTACGCACCAAAAACAAAGCTCAGTCGTTACCTTCATTTTCGCGAACATTTTCAGTTTGGGATATGCTTGGATTTTTTTTTCAGAATTCCTCTGTTCTTCATTTTAAGCTACTTATTTTATAAATCACTAGTTAGAAGCCTTCGTGGAGCTCGCTTGTTTGGCTCCTGAGCAGTATTCAGTTCCAGGATCAAACCCCTGCAATTACTCTCAGTTCTTTCCCTGGTTGCCAATGGGACCAATTCTGTGTCACCCGGAGTGTTGTCTTCGTCATCGTCGTCCACTCCAGTGCCACCGTTCTTAAACGTGACCACCATGGCCTTGCAATTCAGAGCCCCTTCTTGGTGGTTCTCGTTTTGCAAAGGAACCGGTGTCAACGACGGGGTTGCCAATGATACTGTCGTAGTCGTCGTGCCAAATTTGGGGTTCATTACGCTGATCATCTCGGTGTTCTTGCGACGAGGTTGCGGGTGACCTGAGCCGGTCTCTACGTCGGCATCCCCTTCGTCGAGTCCCTTGCCGTGATTGTGATGGCGATGGTTGTTGTGATTGTGGTGGTGGCGATGGTGGGACGGGGTGGCGTTGTTGCCGGCGTCTTCATCCTCATCTTCGACGTGATGGGGCTTGGAGTAGAGAGACTGGCGGCCAACGAGACGGTTCGACACTCGTCCGTTGTCGTCTTCATAGCTGCGCCAGCACGGCAGAACTTCTTTGAACTCTTTGCGGAAGGTCTCGTTGAGCCAGGCGTAAAGAATCGGGTTGTAACACGTCGAGCTCATGGCCAGCATATGTGACAGCGAAAATGTCATCTGAAAGAATGCGTGAGCTGAATTTGAAGAACAAGCATGCGTAGAAAAAAATGAGCACGTATCACTTAATCGAAGGACGAA